TCGGCGCTGCGAGTGACGACCGAACGCCGCCGCCTCGGCGCAGGTCGCCGCCGGGATGGGGTGGGTGTCGGGGGCTGGGCAAAGTGGAGGACTGAATTTAGAAGTGGTGGGTGGGATAGTGGCGGGGAAGTGGTGAAGGTGAGGCTTAGGAAATTTGGTGGGTGTGATGGTGGAGGGGAAGTGGTGAAGGTGAGGCTTAGGAAATTTGGTGGGTGTGATGGTGGTGGTGAAGTGGTGGAGATGAGGCTTGGAATAATTTGGTGGTGAGTTTGTGGCGGTTGTGAAGGTGACGGTGAATTGATGGACGTTAGTCATGACAGTTAGAGTAACTAGAAATGAGGTGAGTTTGTGGTCCACTATGGATGCGTAGTTTTGTAGAGCAATGGAAAGTGTTTATGTCCAGAAATTTAAGGGGATATGGATTGCTAAGAAGAATCAAGTAGTGTTGGTGGGGTTGAGGTAGATGTTTTGGAGACGAAAGGCCCGGTAGTGTTGAGGGTGAACACTGAAAGATGTGGTGGAGTTGGAATAAAGTGAAGTAGCATTGGCGGGTGGAGTACTTCATGTCGGAGGAAGTTGCGCAGGCAAAAGTGTTATTGCTAAAAGGGTTATTGTTGGGCTTACGCTAGCTGGCAAGTTCCGCAAGTAATTTGGGCTGGGGTGTGGAAGGATGAATGAGATTGGGGGTATTGAAAGTAAAATTAGGAAGTTTGGTGGAAACATTGAATTTGAGTATTTGTATTGGGAGAGTTCCGGTCGAGCTTCTTTGATGGTAGCATGGTGAGGGTTACACAAAAATTACAAAATTGCTGCCATGCAAATGGAAGTCAAAATGGAAATTGCTGGTAATAGTTCCTAGGACTGAAAGGTAAATGGTGAAAAAACAGAAAGGACTAAGTTTCGCTCAATGGAAATGATTTTATGAATTACGATTCTATAAATGAAAGTCCGAGTTGCATGAGCAAAAAAATGTGAATCAATATATTTGAGCACACTTTATCGTGTGTATTTTTATTGCCTACTTTATTTATAATGGGTTTATTTTTTTGTGTATATTGTTTAAGTGTATTTTTTTAAAGTCAAATTTTAAAGTAAAAATTTTTGACTTTAATAAATAAAGTCAAAAATAAAATAAAGTCAAAATAAAGTCATAATAAAGTCAAATAAAGTGAAATTTTAAAGTCAAAGTATTTTTTTTTAAATCAAAATTAAATTTCTATCTTGTTTACCATAATCAGATACGATTTTTTCTTTAAATACAATTTTTTGTAATTCTGTTTATATTTACTTATAGGGTTTGTATTTATTTATCCAGAAATTAGGATAGAAGCTCTATAGTTCCGTGCTCAAAGTCAATGGAATAGCAAGAGCTGTAATTTAGGAGGTGCGACGTTGCCTGTGATTTCACTAAACGACCGAGCAAGCGGAGATGAATGATCCTTGCGTGTCTCTTAGTCCGTATTATCTGAGGCAATGAATATTGATTTGCTTCGTCGGTAAAACTTTGTTTTTGTCGGCAGCATTACTGCAGTGCAATACAAATAATTCTTCTACATTATTAGCTCATTAAACCAAGTCTTCATTTGCAGAAAAGCAAAAAAAAAAAAAAATTAAATCACGATCATTTTTTACATCGTTTCAGTGCTTTGGTGCTTCTAGTTGTTAGCTGCCTGCCTCGATAACGATCGAAAAAGATCATTTCCGTTGAACAAACATAGATATAATCATTGAATGTTAATTAAAGGCCAAAGGAGTTTCGTAAGTAATTTCGAATGTTGCGAATACTGCACACAATTATTTATGCTATAATTGTATCAAACTACAGATAATTATTTATTCAAATATGCAATTAGTATCGTAGAGCACAGTTTGAATTAACGCTGAAAATTATTTATTATTTTTTGTATTAGTACTACTTTTCCGTTCCTTTATAGGCATATCGAAATGATTATAAGATTGAATATTAACAATGAGCAACACTGCGATGAACAATTCAAAATATGACATTTATTTGGCATAATTTTTAAAATATTTTAATTTTCCTTATGAATATTTCCATTGCCATTGAAAAATTGATTGTTTTAATCAGACCTAATTAGAGAAGGCGTGTGAAACATGAGATTTCTTTGAAATTGGTTTTTGATCAAATTATGCTAATGTTATTTTATCAAATAATATTATTTTATCAAATTGATATTTTTATTATTATTACTATTATTGATATTATTTACACAATATCCAATTTACCCTAAAAAATTCGCATGATTCCAGTGCCTTTGAAAGTTTTAAATTTCGAAGTTCAATCGAAGTTTGAGCCACGATTTTAGCGAGAGTTTGAAATTCTTTGAATATTGAAAGGAAATCCAGGTGTTAACTAGTAATTGCCTAATGAATTATTCATAACTTTAATCCAGCATTTGTACTGCTTGCGTTCCCACTTTTTCCTGCATTTTGTACAATGAAGAGTTTATATCAGAATCTTTTAATCTAAAATGGGATTCAATAATCTTTGTCAAGAATTTAATTTCAGAAAACAAACAAATTTAAAACGTTTTATTTATATCTATTTGGTATTAGATCATTCTGACGTGATCAGATCTTACTTCGTAGTTTTTAAAACAGTACCCGTCGGCCCTGCAGTGTTCGGCTAGTCAATTTCAACATTTTCTACACTACCTTCACCCTAAAGCAAGGTTGACTCAAGCAGACCGGACATAGAAACATCTTTATGTTAGCTTCAAAATAAAGCATAGCCTTCAAATACCAAACCTGCTAGCAAAATTTCAGTACACTATCTTCAAAAAATTTAAATCAACATAACTCAACATTTTTTCAAATGAATAGTTGATATAATCAATTAAAAGTTCACAAAAGGTTATTGTAATAGGTTGGACGATGTGAGCCCTGCCTCCGGTGAGTCCAAAGCTTCAGTTTGGTTTGGTGTCGTACCGCCTCCTCATGGCAGATCCCTCCTCTCCTTACACAAGACAGGAATCTCTCCGCACTTCGTCCTTGACATTAGCTATTGCTTTTGCTTTTATTTGTTCAATAGCATTGATGAATACTGAACAAGATGAACTCTTTGAAATTAAAACAATTCGTTTTAAGAACAGTAAAAGCAAGTTCTTCAGGCATGTATGTTTTATGCACTTCAGTGATATATAAATGGAATCTGCGGCACACGTGCTACATGTATTAGTAGTAAAGCTTGAATTAAGTTAGAATGAAAATAAATTTTAACAGATGATGCTGAAGATACAAAAACATTAGAGAAAGTCTACCGCCTGGGTTGTTTTTATTAGACGAAACTTGTGGGCATAAAAATCTTATTTAGCTTCGAACGATTATATTCAGTTAATTATGGCTGAATTGTATGAATTATATTGTCGACAAGTTGCCTCTGGCTGTTAAATTATATATATTAAATCGCTAAAAATCACATTTCTCGTGCTATGCAGTTAAAGAACTCAAGCAATGAGCAATGATTTTCTCTAAAAAAAGGATCTCATATGCATAGCAAGCATTCTGAAAGTTGTAGGTGATTTCCAGTTTGGACCTATTAGTGAGGGTGACAGAAATATTTGGCATTCGGACAGATAGTTTCATGTAGAGGGGTTTCCTTGTACAACGTTTGCTGCATGAGGCGCCCAAAACGACAGATGAACGTTTGCATTGACAACGGTCAACGGGAAACGTTAGCTGCTTTGGACGCGTAAAACGACAGTTGAACGTTTGCGTTAAATACGGGAAACATTTGACGCGCAAAACGACTAATGGACGTTTGCATTGATGACGGAAACGTTTGCTGCATGAGTCACGCATGCGCGTCACAGACAACCCTACGTGTCAGGGTTCCCACCCAAATCCTGTGCAGGCGGCAGCTGCAAACTCGCTCAGCAGCCGACACTACAGCAACTCCTCAGTCTCCTCCTCGCTGCAAGGCTAATCACAGTCATTTTGCTCCTCCCTCGCAGGCCAGACCTCGATATCACACTTCACTCAGCGCCAGCCCGCTGAATTCCAAAGATCTCAATCGAGAGCTGGAGTTTGCCCGCGAAGGTGGTCTCAGCATAGCATTTTCTGCAGATGTTACTTGCTAAGATGGGTATATGTTTTGTCGATTACAATTATTTGCCATGCTGTTGGCTTGTTATTGTTTGAAATCATCCTAGCTCTGCGCTGACATGAAGATTTTATTGTCATTGTTTAGATGTGATAGCCAAAATATGTAGTCTGAATATGATTAATATTTATTTTCGGTACATTTTGTGTCACTTTGCTTCATGTTATCTTAGTTCATCGAATTACACTCCCCAGGACTTACTCATTGTAATATGTTTTTTACAAAATTTTATTTTACTCTATAAATATTATATATCAATGTAAAATTAAATTTTCAGTATTTTTGCCTGCAACAACTACATCTAATGGAATAACGATATTGAGGAAATGAAAAATAACAGAAAGTTTGTTAAAATTAATAATTTTTTTTTCGTTCAGGAATAAATTGATGAAAAAATTAACGATAATATCTAAAAGAAAAAGGGTCTTTATAACACCTCCTGACCAACTCTGTGTCATTCCACCCCCTTAAAAAAATAAATTATATAATGGAATAGGGAGAGGAGCCACGATATAAAAAACTACAAGCCACGATATAAAAAAAAACACATTATATTTTTCAGTAAATCCTGGGACCAATGAATAGTCATTGGGTAAACGCATTTGTACATTTTAAACGTCTTATAATACAATTTACATAATTATACACAAGAATAAAAATCCTTAACATTTCTTAATCAGATCACCAAATTCAAATTCTACCCGAAATCCCATAATTTTCAATTCCAAAATAAATCACGAATGATATTATTTTTTTATTTGTTTACGTAATATTCTCTGTTTCATATAGTAAAATCAAATTTATTTTCTGACAATACTTATATTATATTATTATGTTATAATGTAGATTTTATAAATAAATAGTATCCATTAAATATGTATTATTTTATTAATATGTTCCTAGATAACAGTCCACGGGGCGCCGGCCATTTTAGCGGCAGACGCGAGCGGCGACCGGGAGCGGCAGCGGCGCCAGCGAGCGGCGCTAGGCAGCGCTGAGTCGCGTCGACGTCAACAGACCTCCGACGTATTTCTTTGTGCACCAAATAATTCATATGAGGTGTTAAATCAAACTTCTTTGGAATTTACTTTTCATTTTTGAAAAAAATATGCTGGGGTTTTGGGTATTTATGTTATGTAAGTGGTAATTTGTACAGTTAGTGCAAAAAGGAGGTTTCTATTACATACGTCAAAAAATTATGCACGTTATGTGCACTTTTGTATCGAATTTATTTTCCCTTTCGTATATGTAACAGAAACTACAGAATTTCTGTTAGACACGTTTTCATTTTAAGTACATATAGAAATTGATTTCTATTAAATTGACAAGCGCAAATTATCACTTGAAACATTAGACCTTGATAGACCTAAAAACGTCGTTGTTGTCATTGTTTACATATTTTTATTTTAAGCGGTAATTTCTTACTATTCAAATATTTTATATCCTGGCTCTTCATTTCGAATGAATTTTCGTATTCATCATACACAAATTATTCCAGAATGTATTCATTCCGCACTGAATATCGTATAGAAATGAATCTCACGCTCATACGACGTTCTATTTGTGCAACTACTTTGTAGGATGTAGAATGAATATCATAAAAAATGATTTCGTCTACTCGTTTCCTCATATTTTTTTTCTGGGCCAGAGTTTGCGGTCAACCACGGAATGCCACCGCAGCCTGACCGCAGCCAGCGCTGTCCCGGAGCAAGAGGTTCCTAGCCGCTGATAAACGCTCACTCAGTAGAATAAATGAGTCAAGTTGTCCAAATTGTGACTCACTCTCGCACCTGGCACTAGTACGACCTTTTGCCGGGCCACGCTGACTCAGGATGATCAACACAAGAAAACAAATTGCATTACCATTTGCGCTCATTTCTATCAGTGTTCATTGTTTATGATAACAGAAGATACGAACTAAAGAATTTGAATTAATATTATATAGTAAATCAAAACATCAATAGAATTTGCTAATTGAGTATGAATGCCTGTTGAATTCCACTATTAATGCGCATTGACTTTTTGTCAAACAGAAGCAAAAACAGAAGTAGTAAGTACAAACGAAACGTAACCTGTTGCACATTTGAATTCAAAAAGTGGAACGAGATAATTTAATATGTTATATCTGAATTTGTGACACCTAGAAGAAATAGGATTCAAATGTCCCAGTATGTTCCGGGACTCAGTATATAGACAGTATTTGTCTAAAAACGTCCCAGATTTATTTACTGAAACATTCCTGCGTGAACTTCACGTCTTCATGACACGTAATTCGCCGTTTGAATTTTAATTCAAACGAATACACTCAAAACTTTTCAAGATGAAATGTTTTGAATAATCTTCTGTTCAATTGTAACACACAAAATTTGTATATTTTGCATTTTATTCATTGTAGAATAACGTTAGCGGTTAATAAAACTATTAAAAAATTTGCCCTTGATCCTGCACTCTTGTGATCGTTATTCCATCATGACAGAAAATGGGAAATGCCCCCCTACTTGCAGAGACCATTTTCTTCCGAATAATAAACGGTTCAGAATCACTAAAACAAATAAACAAACAAATAGTGACGACTTTGTTCGAGATTGTGACTGACATCGAAACGATGCTGATTTTTCGATTATGATAGATGCCTTCTTTAAATTTTTTTTTAAATTCGATACGTAGTTGGAAATGAAAATAGTCACTTTGCTAAGACTCTTGCCTCTTGCCTCTTGGTAGCCGCACTGAGCTCAACTGCTTTGATTAAAGTATTTTTTTTTTGTTTTGCTTTTGAAAAATAAGCTATTTTTGCAGTTTCGGCTTACGTAGGAGCGTCACAAGTTTTTTAGGACAATGGATGGCTAAGAACTAACATAAGAAGTTCTGTATGTTTGTATAATTTGAATCATATTCAGGCCACAAAATGAAATATTATTCGGGTTACAGAGTTCAAATAATAACAACGGTCAACAGATGCCTCAATCAGTAAGAAAATTAGTTTAAAATTTTGAACTAATAATTTCTACAGTAACTCATTGCTCTTGGAACAATAATGGACCATATGCAATGGACCATATCGACTAATTAGTTTTATTTATAAACATATATCACCTAATCCTGTTGTAAACTTGGGATTGGGATGAAATCATGAAACTTAGATAAAAAAACAGCGATTTATATGCAGATAATAAAAGCAGTGAATAATATAATCCTATACACAGATAAAATACTCAACATCCGACAAGCGGAAATTATTGAAGGTTCCAACTAGTAAATAACATTAGATTGTTTGCTAATTTATTCTAAAGCCATTCTAAAGCCATTGTAATTTGTGAAGAAAATGAAGCAATTACGAAGTTCAATCTGTTTCAGTACTCAAAAAATTGCCGCCATTTTCTGTGAAGGAGCGTCGTTTGCAAGCAAAAGAAAATTTACTCATGAATGGTAAGGGAAGACCAAATGAATAGAAAATCAACATTGAGTCATAGGGACAATAATTACTAATAAAAAAGTGAAGTGAAGTTCCTTTGATCAAGTTCCTTTCTACAACACGTATATGAATAGTGTGCAGATGAACAATATATTTACTCAAGAGAGATAACCTTCGCATCGAGAGGTTTTGTTCAATGAATAATGTAATTAGAATTTCTGGCAAAATGTTTGTTTGAAACCTGATTTAGCGAATGTAGGAAGTTATCTCAGAAGTCTATCACAATCACAATCACAATCACAATCAAAAGTTAGTTACTATTTAGTTAAATTTAAGACACATTTTTTTCATTATGTCTCAGTCCGTGGGTCTACCGAGAAAAGGTATTACCAAATTCGAGTGCCCTAGAAATGTCAATTAACCTTTGTGCTTAACCATAAAAACTTATCATCTTGCGCGAACCCCAAAACAAAATATCATGCTACTTCATTGTAATCATCATTCTTTTTTTACATAAGAAAATAATTGATCCGGAATATAAGTTTAATCACACCGCTCATCTTCTGTCACAAAATCATACATGCAGAATCTCATTATTAACTTGAATATAGTGTTTAGACCCGCAGGGAAATATAGTGACGCCACTGGGTTAGCCTGAAAATTATAAAACATAACTTCCTGGATTCATGATAACTGCCTGGGTCTTGAGCAGCGTTAAGATGACATATCGAATGATGCAGCATAGAATGAATGGAATATAACATATGGAATATTGAGGCAACAATTACCCCACATGCATTACGTTGAACTCTCTGGTGCCATTTGTATGATAATGATTGAGAAAAGCAGCGTGAATTTCATCATTGTATTCAAAATTTTGAGCCGCTCTCATTATTCTTCCGCCAAATCTCTATAGCTACCAAAATTAAACAAATTAGGATCCAATTTATGGTCCTAACTGTATATTAATTTGCTAGTGTACCGTATGTTTACAATTGTTAGTAGGCGTTCGATTAGCCCGCATATAAGAACTCAAACAGCCAATATGTAATTAAGGTAAATATAAAAACTTTTTATGAAATCTTTAGCGTTAAAAAAAACGATCGCCTTCTTAGAATAATGCTAAATTCAACTAAAAAAGAACTTATTTAAACTGCTTAATTAGCCACCATTATAAATTTGATGTAGACGGTAATATTTGCCTTTTACCTTGAGCTCAGCTTTGATCGGGCAACAAAATCTTGAGATTATAAATAGTTATCTCCTTAATTCCCACATTTTTAATGGAATTCAGGTATAACACCTCTCATTTGAATGCATGACATACATGATTGTATTACTACGAAGTATGTCAATGTGATAACTGATAGGCACCACGGAAATGAACCAGAAACTTCCGTTTTATATATCATGCGCCTAGCCTAGATTAAAACATGCACTAGCCCGTTGGAATACCGTTAGCCCGTTCCTGTCATCCCAAATCCCAAATTTATTATTGCTCAATAATAAATTAAAAGTATGTTAACACAAGGCAGACCCGTTAATACAAACAATTCATGTTTAACTGACATCGATAACCTGCGGCGAAATTCCGTACATTTTTCGTTTGATGTACGAAATGTAGAGAACAATAAAAATACAGTAACTCCAAATTCATATTCAGTGCCACCGAGAAAAAAAAAACACTCAAACTCACACAAGCATGAAATAGACTGGAATCAAAAACGTGTTTGCACCAATTGAAACAAATACTATATTAAAGCAGCTTCAAATTTGAATTCAAGTAAATCAAAAACTACACATAAAAAAATTGCGGATCTTCTCTTAATAAATGAAATCAGTTATAAATTTGTTAAGAATATCCTTTGAATTTAAAAAATTGCATTTTCATGAATTTTAAATTATAATGCAATAAAATTGAAATCGAATTTAAAGAAACTAGCTAGGTGAGGTAGTTTTAGTTTTAATTCTCGCTGTAAACTTTGTTTTTCATTACCAAATGGCCTGAGACATCAGCAACATGGCTACGGGGCATACATAATTTGACTGGCGTACACGAAACTGATGGAAAGTTTTCTACAAACTCACATGGAATGCTATACATTCAAAACAACATATTTTGATATTCAACACAATAAATCGTTGGAATAATGAATTAATTGAAATGGCTCAGTGTAAGCGTTCTACATTGACACGCTTTGCACTGTTGCACTCTAAATGCCCATAATAGCGCGTAAAAGTTTCGTTAAGCCGCATTTCGGAATGGTAATTCATAATAACGTGCACAAAATATACTCGAGGTGATGCATACTAGGAGAGAAATTTTCTAAACAATTTCTCTTCTAATTTCAAAATTTGAACCATATAATTAATTATTTTGGCTTACTGAGGAGCACAAAAGTTATGATGTGCCTCCGATTTTAACTCCGGATAATTTTTATCAAAAAGATAGTTTTTTTAATATTGCGTTAGTTAAGATGATTTTTTCTCTGGAGTATGCAGTTTGTACATTGGTTTTGACGATTTTCTTGTAATCTACGTTTCGATAGGCAAATTAAAAACTTAATTTAGGACTGAAAACCAGATAAAAAAATAAATCAACAGTCCCATAATCTTATTTTTAAAAGGATACAGCTATAACATTTTATTGTTATTTTTAGTATTTCAAAATAACTTGAACGAAACAGGAAAAAATATATATTGTTGATAATACGTATTGTTGTTTGCACTTTGAAACCAAAAAGAGTCCATAAAGGTTTTTTCGAAATTTATGTGGAATTTCATCATTTATGTCTGGCCCATGAATTTCTAATGAATTTGTGATTCAGCCATGCATTGTTCTTAATATGTATAATTGCGCATCATATGATATAATTAAATGCCTCCACGAGTAAAGAGAATAGCAGCTTTTGTGACGACATCCTACCACTCAATGAGACAGCAGGCCATTAGTAACAATAAATTCGTCATACGATGCGACAAAGATCCTTCACAATGGGACGTCAAACGATTAGCATCAATGTGTGCGTTATGAGACAGACATGTCGACAAGTCTTCACTAGGTGCTTAGTAAACCTCGTATCTGGTAAGCCAATCCTGTAGTAAAATCAATGGCGAAATTATGTCGGCCGCTGTATGGGCAACGGCCGGCCACCAACGCTTCAGCCGTGATTTTTAAAGGAGTTCAAGCAAAGTGTAGCTGATAAATGAAGGCAAGAGACTCACCGTTCAGTCGAGCATCTCAGCTTCACATAAATCTTGCCGACTTAGGCTTGCAAAGCTCATTAATCTTTTGTCCTGGTGAAGAGTTGAGATGTAGAGATGTGACTGGTGGTGCAGAACTTCAGTTGATCT